GCTCCTCCAGCTCCGCCCTGGCCGCCTGCGCCCCCTGCAGGGACTCGGCAGCCTGGGCCCCGGCCTCTCTCAGCGCCGCCAGCTCCTTGTTCAGAAGCTTAACCTGAGACGGGAAGAGGCTTCAGGACGAGGCTGTGAGCGTCACCCATGGGGATCGGGAGAGAATGCCGGGGGGCCCACGGCCCTGGAGAGCCCGCACCCCCACGAGGCCGCGTGACCAGCCGTCACTCCAACGGGCCAGAGTACCTGCTCCATTTCCTCACAGGAGGTGTGAACACTATTAGATCTGGACTCACACATGCAGGTGGAGGTTGAGGGAACGGGGCTGAAATCCCGGCCGCACACTCCATTTCTAAGCAACCTCTCTGGCCTCAGTTTCCTCGACTAACATCTGGAGACGGAACAGCTGCTGCCCCGATCAGCTCCCGGGCGTGAGCCCTGGGGGCAGCAGTGTTGGGGTCGGGAAGCCACTCGCACAGCAGGTGGGGCCAGGGCCTGCACCTGGGACTCCCCCCGCTCTCCCCCGCCCCACAGCCCCGCTACAGGAGTGTCCTCCATGCTGTGGAGCACAGGGTAACCCCACAAATCTCCTCTCCCCTGGCGCTCAGAAGTCCCCACAGTGGCCAGATGAGGGTCACTGTGGGCAGCCCAGCCGCGCGGTCTGGATGCCTCGCTGGCCCTGGGGCAGGTGGTGCCCATGGGCACTGGTGTCTGTGCCAGGAACTCAGACTAGGGATAGGCTCCAGCCACGGAGAACCGCCAGGGTCCTTGGGCCCCTGATGGCGAGTGCTGCCCACGGACTGCAGGCCTGGTGGGGAGGCTGGCAGCAGAGCGGAGACCTAGCTGACCACGAGGACAGGGCATCCATCCTACTAGCACCAGCCAGGACCGCTGGGCCGGGCCAGGCGTCGCCCCCTGTCACCTCCCCTACACAGACAGCTCCCTCCCCTCAGGCTGATCCTTGACTCGGTGCTAAAGGCCCTGGCCCTGTGGGGGCTCCGGGCGAAGGAAGAGGCCACCTCACCACTAGAGGCCCTGGCAGACGCGCCGTTACCTTGAGCTCGTGGGTCAGGACTGTGCTGCTCATGCTGTCGGCGTGCAGCCGGAACCCGTGCTCCCTCTTCTGCACTTCAGATTCGAACTCCAGCAACAGCTCCTAGGGGTGGGAGAGGGTGAGCAGGCGGGACAGCAGACCCGGGTGCACACTGGGCCTCAGGCGTCTCGGAGGGTGTGGCCTGGCGGCAAGCCGTCCTGTGGCTGCAATCCTCGCTACGCAGTACCCTGAGCTGCCCCGCGCACATTGAGCTGCAGGGAGGCCCAGGACGAAGCGTAAAGACGGAGGACCAGACACGAGCCCTGGCCGGACCACCACTCCGAACGGCTTTCCGATGGGTTCCTCCAGTCCAAGGCCATGCTCACGCCCACCACCAGTGTCACTCCTCCTGACCTGCTGGTTTCTTGCTACAACAGACAGGCAACCGGTGGGGCAACCCTACCCCACGCCTCCCGTTACACCAGACCCTTCCCAGCTTCACCCAGGGCTCATTCTAAAGGCAGACGCAGTCACCATGACGGCGATAACACTGCCCCTGCCCACCCAGCAGTCACATCCCAGTGCTCCCGCCACGTCCAGTGCCATTTCTCCTGGCATTTGAAGCATCCTCCTCCCACCCTTCTCTCTGCTTCTCTGTGTCTGTCTGTCTTGTTCCCTCCTGTTTCCTTAGTGGCGCCCCTTCCCAGGATGCACCCTGCAGTGCGACCTTCCTTCCCTGCACAGCCTCCCGGCTCCTGCCGACTGCAGCCACTGCATAGCTGCCCCCGGCCTGTCCCTGCAGCCACTCTCTTGGGCCCTCCTGCTGGGAAGAGCCTCCTGCCCCCAGAAGGCCCCCAATGTGACAGTCGGGGCCCACCCGTCAGGTCCTGCCTGCAGGTGCAGGTATGGGAGCCGGGAGCCCAGCACTTCGGCCTCTGTCTCACGTCTTTCAGGCTCACTGGCTCCCGCTCCCGTGAGCATCCAGCCGGCTCAGTGAGTGGGGACACAAGGAGGCCGCGCTGGGCCCACACCTGGCCGTCACGAATGCCCGGCCGTCGCTCTCCGGGGGGAGGGGCCTCACACTGTGCAGGTGGGACTGCAGAGCCACCCTTCACTGTTTGTACCCTCTGAGGAGCAAAACCAAGTACCAGGGTCGCATGAGTAACCTTACTGGAGCCAGAACGTGAACATCATCGCATCCCCTGGTCCTGAGGTGTCACGGGACCAAGCACTGCCTTCTGCGCAGAGCTCTGCAGGCTGTGGCCGCCAGGGGGCAGGCGGAGCCCGGGCTGTGACCCAGGGAAGTCAGCCCAGGACCAGAACCCCGCCCCCCCACCCCTC